TCTCCCACATTTCACTTTGCCAAGTAATAAAATATCAAAAACAAATAACAAATAAGCCACTTTCTACACTCACCATCGTTTCATTTAAAAGGGGACATCTTGCCCTAGCTGATTTGGCTCAGTGGATAGAGCGTCGGCCTGCGGACTGAAGGATCCCAGGTTCGATTCCAGCCAAGGGCACATGCCCAGGTTGCGGGCTTGATCCCCAGCGGGGGGTGTGCAGGAGGCAGCTGATCAATGATTCTCTCTAATCGTTGATGTTTCTATCTTCCTCTCTCTCCCTTTCTCTCTGAAATCAATAAAAATATATTTTTTAAAAAGGGGGGAGGGACATCTTAACACCAATAAGAAGAAAAGGACAGGGGAGAGCATGATTTAGAATCAAGCACAATCCTTAAAGCTAAATACATGTTGGATTTAAAAAACATAACTCTCCATCACTCATATTTTTCTACTTTTGCTGGAAACTTATGAAAAGGTCATGACACAACTAACTTTGAACATGGACTGTGGACTAGATAATAGTATTGTATCAACGCCAAGTTTCCTGATTTTGTTAACTGCAGGGGTTATGTAAGCCTTACATTGTAAGAGAATGTCCTCTTAGAAAATAACTCTGAAGCATTTGGAGGTAAAAGGGCATATGTTTGCCACTTACTCTCAAATAGTTAGGGAATAAATTGTACACACACACACACACACACACACACACGATAGAGATAGAGAAATAAAGTCAAAAATGACAAAATATAAACAATTGATAAATCTGAGTAAGATCTATATCAGAGTCTTTGTAGCATTCTTCTAACTTTTTAATAAATTTGAAATTAAATCAGAATTTAAAGTCACACACAAAAAAATTAGTAGTGAGTTAGCAGTGATTCTCAGTAAGAGCTGGGTTTCAATTAGTACATTACCTACTTTGGTACTGTTTGAGTTTTCATGGAAATATGTGCTGTTTGTAATAAAGAATAAAACAAAAAATACAGAAATTAAAGAGAAAAAGAAGAGGCCATCGCAAACTCAGTCCAGCATTTGACACTCGCTGGTGTGGTCTAAGCACCCACTCGGCAGAGGCGAGAACTGAGGCCCAGGCGGGGCCGTGGCTTCTCAGTAGCACACAGTGGAGATCATCAGAGTCAGGACTCCACAAGGGCTCCTGCTCCTCCCACACGGTCCTTCCGTTCCGGGATGCTGCCCCCTAATTTGAATTGGGGGCCTGAGTGCATAGAGGGCCTGGCAGAACAGGACAGGGTGTGAGGATGTGTCCCCTCGGAAAATGCCACATCCCATCAGGGTGCATTCCTTCCACCTTTATCTCCATAAGGTCCCTTCCAGCGAAAGAGAATCAACACGGACTGCTCCCTACACATTTACTTATTCCTTAGATGCAGAAACCGAGACCCAGAAACTGAGACCCAGAGAGGTTTGGGGTCTTGCCAAGATCATACTGCAAGTTCCAGACTCTGTAGTTCGGGGAATGAATAACTGGCCAGATTTGGCCAAGCCACCTCCAGGCCAAGTTAAAGAGGAACAGAGAAAGGGAGGGGCCTTAGGAATTGGAGGGAAAAGGAGGGGAAGCCTGCAATGTCCGGATTGGGAGATCCCCTTCCCTTACCGCGCTCACGCTCACCGTGGCTTCAGTTCCCCTGAGCCTGAAAGGAGAAGAAACGGGGTTTTGCAAGCGCGCCGTGTCCCACACTTCAGGAGGCTTCACCCACACGCAGTCTAGGAAAATGGCAGCTCCTGGGTTGGGCGGTGCACGGCCTGCACAGCTGTCCATGGCAGCCCTGAGGCAGTTGTAGTTGTTGTTGTTGTTGTTGTTGCTGTTGGGTAGGGAAGAGGTGTTTGGGGAAGGCACAGGAGTGACCAACACTGTGGCCTGGCTTAACCAGTGACTGATTCCATCCATTCAGTCAACCACTATTTATTGCCACAAATTCTATGCCAGCATCGTGCTAGGCGCTGGGACTTTCCAGGCTTGAAATAGATGTACCCTCTAGGGAAGGACGGGGCGTAGCGGTAGATGCGGAGAGGCAGTCTTCCCAGGACACAAACCCACAAACTTTCCCCTACTTCTCTTTTCCCTCTGCCCAGCTTTCTCCATCCTTCCGGCCCTCCTGGAGGAAGCCTCAGGATCCTCCCCTCTCCTCCTCTCCCAGGCGAATAGGCTATTGGTGGTGGGAGCCACTAGACTTCAGGCTACGGGGCAATTCCTTCCTCCATGTGGCAGCTAGAATTCATTCATTCATTCATTCATTCATTCATTTTACTGCTTTTATTCCACAGGCATCTGTTAAGTGATTTTTTTTTTTAATTACGCAGCCCGGCTGGTGTGGCTCAGTGACTGAGTGTTGACCTAAGTACCAGGAGTCACGGTTCAATTCCTGGTCAGGGCACATGCCTGGGTGGGTTGTGGGCTTGGTCCCCAGTGTGGGGTATGCAGGAGGCAGCTGATCAATGATTCTCTCTCATCATTGATGTTTTTATCTCTCTCTTCCTCTCTGAAATCAATAAAAATACATTTTTTAAAATTAAGCATAGCAAAAGTGAAAAGTAATTCTGCCTCCATCTTCCCAGTTTCCTTCTCAGAGATACCATTCTTTCCAGTTTCTACGTCTCCTGCCCATTGTTTCCAGGCATTTTCTAGTGTATGCCATGTCTATTATTTTCCTTTTTCTCAAAGAAATCACGCAGTACACATTGTTCTGTACCTGGATTTTTTTTTCACTTAACACAGTATCCAGGTGTTTTTCCCACATCCACACGTGTACACATTCTTCCACGGCCACATACTATCCCAATGTGGGGGTGTCCACCATTTTTATGTCACTCCTCTATTGGTCGACGTCTAATCCATCTCCAGTCTTTCATGGCCATGAACATCTTTCGCCACCCACCTTTGTGCATTTCTGGGAGTCTAGATTCCTGAAGGGTGACCGCTGGGCAAAGGGAATGTACACTTGCATTTTGATGGATATTATCCAATAGGCCCTCAAAATACTGCACCAAATTATACCAAAGCCACTTTTTTGTCTTTGCCAATCTGGAAGATGACGGGTTCTCTCGTTTTAATTTGCAGTCTTTATTACGAGGTATATTAGCACCTTTTTCACGTTTGCAACCTATTGTATTTCTCTCTCTTCAACAGTATGTGCTCCAAGCTGTTTATTCTTCCAGTCACACAGGCAAAGTATCTCGGACCTATGAAATGTTTGAGGTTCTGCAAAAAAAAAAGTTTGAGACCTAGGGGGGAAAAGTATTGACTTTAAAATATTTTTAAGAGACTAGAAAATTGAAACGAAAACGATGTAATTTCATGTCAATCAAGCACCATCTTATGGCAAGTTCATTAACTGGAAAACCTGGAACTCATGAACATTACATTTGAAAGCAATTTGTTGGTTTAGATGTGCTCATTTTGAAGAATTCCCAAATATGCATGATGCTTTTAAGGAAATTAGAGTCAATTTTAAGTTAAATGAATGAGCTGTAATTGGATAATCGCACACTCATAATGATTTGAAACCCTTTTTAATGGTTTACTATAAAATGACACTCGGTTTGGGGTCAGAGTGTGCTTTCACGTGACTCATGTAGTTTGGGTGGGGCCTCCAAAAGTAATCGGGAGTCCAGGGCCAATGGTGGTTTTTATTTAAAAGTCTATAAACCACTGACACAGTCCTACTCTCAGCTTCTGGTCCAAGAACAAGCTGGCCCTCTCGGCAAGAGGGAGACAGTGAAAGGGATCGGATCTGAACCTGGGGCTGGCCAAGGACCCCAGCTTCTCTCCCAAGCCCCTGGCACTCACAGAGAAGAAACCCTCTCGTGGGTCAACCCCACTCCCAGGCGAGTGGCTCAGGGCTGGGCCCTGGGGTTTGGGAAAGGACCAGCCTGGCGTTGGGGAGGGGAGCGGGAGGGCAGAGATCGGGAGGAAAAGGGACAAATTGTCTCCAAATGACATCGTGAGACATCAGAACAAAATGTGTTTTTCTCTTTCCTACTCATCCCTCTTTTAAAGGGAACTAGAGATCATTCCTTGAAAGGGACCATCTGGGGGTCTGAGTCACAAGTGTGAAGGTTTTAAGACTGGGAGGTGAGCAATTCTGCACCTCCCCTCCTCCCTGTCTGCCTTCCCTCCCCACCTAAAACTGAGAGGGAAAAGGGCAGAGGGAACCTACAGGAAGTGGTATTAGGACCCTGTGTGGGGTACGGACATGTGTGTGTGTGCACCTATTGAGTGCGTGTGTTCAGAAAGGCAAGCATGTGAGTGTGTGTGTGTGTGTGTGTCTGTGTGTGTGCGCGAGCCTCCTCCCCTAATACTCTCTCTACCCCGGCTGCTGGCATAGGACTTGGAGCTGCTGCGTTCAGTGAAGAGCTGTCTCTTAAACCCAATGGAACTGGACGGCACAGTGTTGAATCTCACTTGTGCTCTTTCTAGCTGTGGGCAGGTGGCTGCCTCCTCTGGACGGTTTCCTCATTGGTACAAATTGTACACAAGAACCTAGCTTGTGGGGACATGGTGCAGATTAAATGAAATGAAGTCCGTGGGTGCTTAGCTCCAGGCACGGCCTTTTTCCTTCCCACCTTTTAGCGGCCCTGGAAGGAGAGCCGCTGCACGGAGGCCGCGGCAGAGCAGGAGCAAGTACCGGCCCAGTGGAGAAAGTGCTGTCGGGGAGGAAGAGGTGGTGGTCGCACAGGAAAGGCTGCAGGCCAGCCTGGGATGGCTTTGAGTTCACCCTGGTCAATGCCAGTAGGGAGCCATTGAAGGTTCTGTAGCAGGGGAAGGGCTAGAGCAGGGGTCCTCCAACTACGGCCACATGCGGCCCGCCGAAAACATTTATCCGGCCCGTCGGGTGTTTTTGCCGACGCTGCCTGTTGCTTAGCAGCCGACTCGTCCTAGCACATGTGTGGAATGTGCGCCACACTCTCTCCGACTCCCCTCCTTCTCTCTGTCTCTCGACTCCTCCTCTCAGTCTCGGGTGTGATCAGACGAGTCACGAGCTTGCCTGTGCAGAGCCTGCTGCTGCCTGAGGACCGAGGTAAGAACAAGTTAGGATTTATTTTTTTTTTGAAGTTAGGAGGTCTATTTTTTTTTTATTTTGCAGTTAGTAGGGCCTTTTTCTTTGAAGTTAGGAGAGCCTTTTTTTTTGAAGTTTTGTATTTTTACTTCAAAATAAGATATGTGCAGTGTGCATAGGAATTTGTTCATAGTTTTTTTTTAAACTATAGTCCGGCCCTCCAACGGTCTGAGGGCCGTTTAAAAAGTTTGAGGACCCCTGGGCTAGAGCATGAGAGGTAGCTGGGGTCCCCCTGCACAGCTTCCATGGCCATTACCTGGATCTTCAATGTGTCTGTCATTCCCGCCTCCTTCTGCGCACCCTTCCACAGCCCAAGGAGGGGCTCTTGGGCCACAGCTCAGCTCCCACCAAGACCGTGTCCGGGAGGAGAGTGGGCCAAGGACAACGTATAAGCAAGGACTTGCCTGAGCCCGGACTTGAACCCTTACTCTGCGCCCTCCTCACTGAGTGACTTAGATCCCTCTGAGGGGCAGCTTTCTCTCTGTGACCTCACAGGGTGTTGGGAGGTTTAAAGGAGATCATATATGTAAGGCACGTGGCACCATGCCTGCGTTATCGCTGAAGCTTGGTGCACATTGCTGTTAACTTTCTTTAGAAAGGTGACCACGGGGGAGAGAGAGAAGATGAGAATGACAGGACAGAGAGGGGAGAGAATGAGGGGGTTAGAGGCAGGAGAGGGCGACACAAAAGGCAGCCCAGCTTCTGCCTCTCTGGGCAGTCCACCTGCAGCCAGGAAAGAAGCTCCTTGCAAGGAGGAGTTGGTGGAGTTGGTGGAGGGGCCCAGTCACTGGGTAAGAGAGGAGGTCACCTCTGACGCATCTCTCCTCCCATCTCCAGCCCCACCTGACCCACCTCTCAGGGTGACAGGGCCAGACACGGTGGGCCAGCAGCATCCTGGAGGGTTCCAGAGCTGGGCCTCCTGCAAAGGGGGGTGAGGAGGGGCATTCCCGGGTAAGAGGAGTTAGGACTGCAGATATGGGGTCTGGGAGTCCCACGTGGATGGACCATGGGGGCCCCGGGGACAGCCCATCCTGCTTAACCGGAGGCCAGAGGCTGCTCTGTGTGGGCCTGCACAGCAGAGAGTGGGTGGCACTGGCTGAGGCAGGTTCCCTCCCCCGGCAGGCCAGCTGGGCCCTCCTCAGCGGCTGGCCACCTGAACAGGTGTGTTGGGGGATCGACAGGCTGTCATTTCTAAAAATAGAGGCTCACAGCCTGGGAGTCAGCCAGGTGTGGCTGCCACACAGCCTCCCAAACTGGCTACAATGCATGCACACGCCAGTTCTGGGCCTGCACAGACACACTCCAACTGCCGAGCACAGACCCAGGGGGCCCACAGACACCCACAAAGACACACACGTAAGTTTACATGCACACATCCTTGCTGAGGCTCAACCCTGGTCCAGGCCCCTGATCCACATCACACCCTCTCACCACACTCACACTCCCCCATACACACCGACACACACCCAGCGGCTCCTGGGTCTCCCCACATAGAACATCAGCCTCCTGAGGGCAGTGCCTACTGGTTTTGTCCAGTTTGTTGTTCCTTCAACACCTTTAGCAGTGTCTGGCATATAGCTAGTGTTCATATTTGCTCTATAAATAAATGCACATATACACTCGCATGCGTACACGTGTGCACACACACACACACACACACACACACACATTCTGTGTTTAATTATCCCCCCGCCCCCATCCTTACCCCCATCCCCACACCGGGGTTAAGTTCTATTAGGCCCTGGAGAGGGCAGAACTAGGAGGCCTGGCCTTCTCTGGCCTGGCCGATCCCCACACCCAGAGTCCGGGCCAGGGAGAGGCCTTGAGTGGGGGGTCCCAGGGAAGCAGTAGAGTGAAGCCCCCATTTGGGACGAAGTGGGGATCTGTTTTCTATAGGAAAACCTTCCTGGGGAGCCACAGCACTGTGCTGGAGCTCCGAGTCGGGCAAGGGCTGGCTGGGCCATGTCCCAGGAAATCCCCTGCTTTGCTCTGAGTTTTAGGCAGCCCCTCCCCATCCAGGAGCGCTGGGCACTGCTTTCACGGGCCTGGGATGGGCCTCCCACAGCCTGCAGGCGGCTGCACAGAGCGAGCCTGAGAAGGCAGGGCAGGGCAGGGTAGTCTGCAGCCCTTGGCGGGTGGAGAGGAGCCTTGTACAGTGAGAGAAGGGAGGGCCTTCTGGGAAGAGGGCTGGCATCTGAGCATCTTTGGCACCAGGACTGGTAAGTGAGCACCAAGTCTGTGCTAGGACCTCAAGGCGCCCGTGGGGTGAAGTGGAGGCCGCCTGGGCCCGACCACCAGTAATGAGGAAGGTGTACTGTGACCCAGGGGCTATTGAGGGTCAGGGCCAGGGCCAGGCCTGTGACCACAGCCCAAATCACAGGACTGAAGAATGAGGTGCCCAAGGGGAGCAGCCTGATGGAGGTGGGGGCAGGGACAGACAGGTGGCAAATGGATGAACAAATGGACAGACTGGCAGATGGACTGAAAGGCACAGGAGGATGGATGGGCAAATAGACAGAAATGGGTGGATGGCCACTGAACAGCTCCACCTAGTCACTCTCTGAAGCCCCACAAGCACCTGAAGACCAGCTACTCCCACCCCATACACTTTCCCCATCCCACTCCCCATCTCCTCCCCAGGCCAGGTTCCCAGGGAGGCCAACACCTGCTTGGCCTGATGCCCAGAGATGCACCTTCCAGCCAGGTACAAACCCAGATGTGGAATCACCTCCAGGTGTTCTCACTTGAGCAGATGTTCATAGGATGGGGTGGGGGTAGGGGCCATATCTATGGGCTAAGACTTCTAAAAATAGCCCTCCCAAAGTAACTGGGGAGTGCCCAAGTTATAGCAGACACACACACACACACACACACACACACACACACACACACACACACCCCTCCCACACACCCCTCCGGATATTTGAAGTCTCACCTTCGATGGCTCCTTCCAAGGAAAACCTTAGCCTGAGTCACCTTCCAGATGTCACAGTCCAGCCCTGTCTCCTGCCCTGAGACAGGTTCCCTCCTCCCTCCAGCCACAGTTCATGCCTTGGGTAGGCATCCCCTCCCCATATACCGTGGTCCACACTATTCCTACCGCCAGGAACCCCTTTCCCATCTTAGTCCGGGACCCCATGTACTGGTCCCATCATTCAAGACAGAGACCTCTGTATACCTAAAGTTTAACAGCGTGACACACAGTAAGGCAGCGGTTCTCAACCTGTGGGTCGCGACCCCTTTAGGGGTCGAATGACCCTTTCACAGGGGTCGCCTAAGACCATCGGAAAACACATATATAATTACATATTGTTTTGTGATTAATCACTATGCTTTAATTATGTTCAATTTGTAACAATGAAATCGGGGGTCACCACAACATGAGGAACTGTATTAAAGGGTCGTGGCATTAGGAAGGTTGAGAACCACTGCAGTAAGGCCTAATATGTGTTTGTTGGCAGACTTAACCAACTGAATAGCTGGATGAAATCATTAGAAGTGTAAGTCAGCTAAAAATTGGTGCCAGATGGACCGGTGTGGACTAGCTGCTATGGGGTTCCAGCCTGAGCAGGCCTCAGCCCACGGAAGGAGGATGGTGAGCTTCCACAAGCACACACTCGTCCCTACAGCCGCCATGGAGTGAGTCCTGCACCCTCTCTCACCCTCAGCTTCCCATGGAAAAGATGCACAATCAACTAGTCAGCCCAGCCCAGCCCACAGCGATGGCAAGGGAGGTCAGCAGGCCATGGAAGGAACATTCAGTCTCCTAGTCCCCTGTTCCCTCCGCCCACTGACACCTGGGAAAGCCCCGGCACTTTTCTAGGGCTTTCTTCAGGGCTGGGGAGTGCCAGGGCAGGCCCTCTGCCAACTCAGCAGGTCCAGGGACTTTGGATGTGCTGACGCTGGTAGCCATGCCACACCCCATGTGGGCTCAGCGCTGGCCTGGGCCTGAGCCTGGCATTGATTGATGGATTGGCATGGCATTTATTCCTTCGGGGCCAATCACACCTGTGAAGTGTGCACTCTGTGTAAGGCCCATTTTGAAGCACTTCACTTAATCCTGGCAGTGACCCTGTGAGGTCAATACTACTCTGATGCCCATTTTACAGTTGGGGAAACTGAGACAGGGATATGGATGGAGCAATTTACCTGAAGTCACAGCCGCTAGGAGTGGGCAGCGTAATCTGGATTCAACCCCAGGCCGCGTGCCACCAGAGCCCCCATTATAAACCACTATGCTATACTATTGTCTCTTTAAACTTATATTTTTAAGCAAGAAAAGGTGAGTTACTTGGTCTAAGCTGCCTTTGGCTTTAGGAGCACAGACATGTGACATTCCAGGTCATTTCCAGCCCCATGTCTGTGTGTCTGTCCCCTATCCTCCCTACACACACACTTGCCTTATCCTCATGCTGCCAGGCATATCCCTGTGACCTCCTGGTTCCTCCCTGGCCAGGCACCAGGCCCGTGGGAACACTGAGCTCTGAAATATACCCCCCCCATGCCCGTCCCTTCCCCGCGCCCGGGCTCTGCCCAGCCCAGCATTCCTGGAAAGCTCAAAGGCGGCCTCTTTTAGGGGAGACTTTTCCTCGGGGCTGCTATGGCTGGAACTGGGATAAACGAGAAGGGCCCACCCACAGTCCCACAGATGCAGCATCTGGGGCCACAAAGCTTGAAGTGGGCTGATCCTCTTCTCTGTGATGGGGCCTTGGCAGGCGGGAGACCCACAGAGGGCCCCTCCCCATGCAGTGTGTCCCCGGGGGCTTTTTCTGGACTCTCGGGGTCCAGCACTTTTCCCCCCACCAGCTTTCCTCAGTCCCATCCCATTACCAGAGCTTGCGTCACTGTGTGTCCTGCCCTGTGCTGGGTGCCACAGGGCCTGCCCCTGATGGTTCCCCACGCTGGACGAGCCCTGCAGCCTTCCCGGGAGCTGCCCACCACCCTGTGCAGCCAATCCCCCAAGACCTTCCGGGCCTGTGCACAGCCATCTGCTGACTATTCACCTCGGGGACCTCCACCTGCTGCTGAGGGGGCCCAAGAGCATGTCCTACCTGCTGACCCCAGGCCCCAGCTCCTAACTCGGACCTGGGCACTGGCAGCAAAGCCCCAGCAACACTGCCCCCTGCCCGGGGCCTAGTGTGGGGCCTGCCTCTTAGCACTCAACTAAATGGGCTCCTCCCAGGCACTTCCAGCCCCTCCTCCTGCCCAGCCCAGTCAGAGGCCAGTCAGCTCCCCCTGCCCTCGAGGCCTGGCGGGTTTGGGTAGGAAGGAAGGAGCTGTCTGGGTGCCAGGGGCTGAGGAGGCGGGCCAGGCCCTCGCTGCTCGCTGCTCGTTGACCTTCAGCAGGACCTTCTGAGCATTCTTTGATCTAGAATTGCCACATGTACACACACACACACACACACACACACACACACACACACGCACACACACACTCCCATTCACACCCAGCCACGCTCTGACCAGCGATGAAACAGTGCAGGTGTGGGGCTGAGGCAGGCCAGGGAGGGGCCTCCTGGCCTCTCCTTAAGGAGGCCCTGGCACCTTCTGGTACTGGAGCACGAGCAGAGCCTGCCCAGTCTGGGGGAGAGGCCCCTCCTCAAGACGGGCACCAATCACAAATCCTGGCGACTTAGGATCCCTGCTCCTTGGCATATAACCCCAACTTACAATTCTCTCTCTCTCTCTCTCTCTCTCTCTCTCTCTCTCACACACACACACACACACACACACACACTGTACTCACCTCTAGACTCCTCATCGTTGGCAACCCCTCAAGGTCTCCACCCCACCCCCACTCTAGCCTCATAGAAAATATTAAAGCCCCACAAAGCCTTGGGCCCTGACACAACCCCTAGCAGCTGAGATCAGCCCTGGTGGCCCAGTTCTGGGGACTTTCCCAACAGGGTCTGCCCGATTGGGCCCCACTGTCCCTGGGCTAGGCTTAGCGATTGCTGAGTGGCCCACCACACACCTCCCCTGCGCCTGTACCTGTCCCTGCACCTGCCCGCACACACGGTGGCTCGGCACTACTTCCCAGGACCGGCAGACGGCTTAGGGTCAGAGTATTTTCTTTTCTGTTCTTTGTTGTTTTTTGTTTTGGTTTGGTTTGTTTTGTTCTTCCCCATGTACATGCTGTTGATGGCTCAGCCCAAAATGCCCTCCCTCCTTGCCTTCCCGACCAGAAGCCAGCAGTCCACAGGTCAACACTGGAGCCCTGTACTGAGAGCTTTACATGTCTCCATTCATTTGATCCCCACAGAAGCCTATGAATCAAGTACCATTAATTGTACCCATTGTTCAGATGAGGAAACTGAAGCTGAGAGAGGTTATGGAATGATACATTTCTGCCCACCTTCCCAGGACCCTCCCTTCTCTTCTTCTCTGCAGCCCTGCCCACTGCCCCCACAGGAGCAACTGTCCCAACCTAGAGCCTCTGCCCCTTGCAGTGGCTTCTGCTGAGCCTGTTACTTCAGTCCCCAGATGTTGGCATTGGCCCTCTTCCTTCCTGAGCTCTGTGAGAGCTGGTGGGGGCCTGGGCCCAAGTCCCCACCCCGCCTTGCTGCCCGGCACCTAGCCCGGCAAGTTAGCCGTGCAGGCAACTCTTCACTGCCTGGAGAAGTGGCCACAGGAAGGATGACCAGAGCCCTCCTCCTCTCTCACTCCCCTCCACCTTCCTCCCCTCTGCTCACCCTGGCCAACCCTATTCTCGCCTTTTCTACCAGTTCCCAGGACAGTGGGGGCTTCTGCCTGCTCTCAGGTTGGGCGTTACTGCAGGAAGCGGAATCTGTGGGGGGCTGACCTTGGGAGAGGTGTGGGGCTGAACCAGCTCGCAGGCGGCCCAGCCTAGGCCTGGACACTGGCCTGGGCACAGCACCCTGTCACCTCTGGGTGGCCACTCCAGTGTGTGTGTACACTTGGAGGGGTGGAGGTGCAGACAATGGAGGGAAATGAACCATTGAGCCAATACCACATTTATTTAAGAGGCACTGAGTTAAAAATAGACCGAGTGCCCAAGAGCAAGCAGCAAGCGCACTGACTTCTGGCTCAGACGGGGAGAGGAATTCCAGGGGCCCTGAGGAATTCCAGGGGCCCTGAGAACTGTCCACGCCCTGGGGCCCTCCGCATGGGCTCCCGCTCCTGCAGACAGACTTGTGATTCTGTCAAGTGTCATGCACACCCCAGCATTGCTGATGGCATCAGCAACATGGTTTGTGTGCTTCGAAGACTGCAGGGTTTTATAGCAAAAGAACACGAACGTTAGACCTAGCAGGACCCCAGCGGGGGGTCACTGTATCACTGCCCCATCTCCACCCCCCATGTTGCAGAGCGGAGGACTGATGTTCCCAAAGAAATGACTGGTTCAAGGTCATGCCCAGCAAGGCAAAATCAGGTCTCTTGGCACCCAGCTCAGGACTCTTTCCACTGTGTTACATCATGCTAATCATGTCATATTGCACAATGTTTGGATAGATTTTGTTCTTTCATGTTCTGTTATGTAATGTCATGTAGGCAGAGGAATGGGCTGAGGGTGGAGGTGGGGAAGTCATTGGAAGGAGAAGGTGACAAAAAGGCCATAAGGCGAAGGTACAGGCAGTGAGCCCAGACCCTCCCCACCCAGGTCAAACCCAGCTCCCTCACCTGAGATTTCTCCCCACGTCAGTTCGTAACGGGTGTGGTGCAGCACCCAGTACCCTAATTAGCCGGTGTTGACAGTTTCTGGTTTGTGTGTTATCACCTTGGGTCCACTTATCTTTATCAGAGCCAAAGGTTGATTGGACCACTCCAGCCCGTCTCAAAGCAACTCCACTAGGATTCCATGGAATGTTTATGGCCACTGCAAGTCACAGCCCTCTTTCCTCCAGATAGCGCCTGGCTTGTCCGAGAGCTGCCCCCTGGAGTCTTGGGTTCAATCTCCACCCTGCCCACCAAGAAGAGAGCGTAGAGCTCTCCCCTCGGAAGGAAAGTGATGCCCAGGCAGAGCAGGCCGGGCATGGACGCAGGCCTCCTGACCTCCAGCCTCGGGCACCCCACAGCCATGCCCCAGGTACCTGAACCTGCCAGGACCCCTGCCAGGGGCCTCAGCCCCCGCTTCTCCAGCTGAACAAAGGTTCCTGGGCCTTATCCTCCTAGAGCAGTGATGGTGAACCTTTTGAGCTCGGTATGTCAGCATTTTGAAAAACCCTAACTTAACTCTGGTGCCGTGTCACATATAGAAATTTTTTGATATTTGCAACCATAGTAAAACAAAGACTTATATTTTTGATATTTTATTTTATATATTTAAATGCCATTTAAAAAAGAAAAATCAACCAAAAAAATGAGTTCGCGTGTCACCTCTGACACGCGTGTCATAGGTTCGCCATCACTGACCTAGAGGGTGGAATAGTAATCTGGCTGTCTATGCCCCAGCCCTGCCCCTCTCAGCGGCCTCCCCATCCCCATTAGGACAGAGAAATGGGCCTGTGGGAGCACAGCGCGGGCCCAGCAGACGGCCTCTATGGCCACCTGAGGTCATTCTCGGTCTGTTGGCAACGTTGGCCTCACAACTAGGCCCTCGGGCCCTTCCTGATCCTCTCTGAGCCTCAGGGGAGATAGGTTCTCTGAGAAATGACTTAAACTTCCTGATCCTGACCTTC